AGACTCGTAGGCTAAATAAGTCCTTTTCTTTATAAAGTTATCCAGCTTTGAGGATGTTTTTATAGTAACACAACACTGACTAAGGATAAACCTGTTTGCTTTTTTGAGACAGTACCTCAAACTCACTCTGTCTCCAAGACTGTGGTTGAACTTTTCCCGATCCTCCTGCCTCCACCTCCTGAGGGCTGGGATTATAGTACTAAGCCACCAACCTTGCTGTTCAGATTCTGACGCCTTGATTTATTTTGTTCTTAAGTTTTATTAGTTTTAGTTGGTTTGAGATAGCTTTTGTGATGTAGTTGCCTGGTTTTCAAATGGGTTATCTGCCTGCTTCAGTCTCCCTAGGTTCTTGGATCAGACATGCCCAGCTCAAGAATAAATACTTTTGAGTTTAACATTTGAGCCTCTTACCCTACAGGTAAGAATCATCAGTCTAAATGGATAGAAAGAGCTGCCCAGTAAGATAATTTGTGAACACAGGAACGCCAAAATTTCATTGGGTTTGAGCTCCTGGAGAAAAGAGCCAGGACAGAAACGCAGGGCTTCAAGTCAGGTTGCTTCCCCTACAGCGCCTGGAATGTCACGTACTGCCACACAGAGCCAGCTGTTATCACCCATGGCGCGACATGAGAACGACATTTCTTCTATGCACTATGACAAATTTGGGGACAAACACCAGGTCAGAGTTGTCCCAGTTCACTTTCCACACTAGAAGGCAACCCACTCCCAGGCTCCTCTTCCTTCCTGTCTTTGTTAGCCTGCCAGTCACCCCAGTGGGTTGAGTCCAAGCACACGGGCGCTCAGCCAGACGGTGACTAACACGGGTACCCAGACCACGTAGGAAAGGTGAACAACGCCCTTTTAAAGGACCCTGCTAAACCAGTTTGCATCTGTAACTCTTGACCACAAACGCTTCTTTGTCTTGTAATCTAAGCACAGAATAAATGGAGGAAAAAAGAGACATGAACCCTGTGCTAAACCCTTTGGGCAGAGGGACCAATCCTAGCAAGGTCTCCAACATTTGTTTTCAGGTTAGTCCTCACATAGCCCAGGCTAGCCTCAAATTACATAGCCAAGGATGACTTGGAACTTCTGGCCCCCCTGCCTGTACTGTTTGGCTGGGGTTGTATAGCACCAACAACTCCTGGTTTACAGAGTGCAGTCGATAGAACCCAGGTCTTCATGGCATGCTAAACAAGGTACTCTGCCGACTGAGCCACACCCCCAGCCCAAACCTGAACTTCAAATCCTCCTGTCTCCACACTTTGTGTGCTGGGATTAAAGGTTTTTACAGATGGGTTTGTTACTTTTGAGACAAGGTCCCATTAGATAGCCCTAGCTGGCCTAGAATTCACTGTGTCTACTTCCCAAAGTGCTGGAATTAAAGCTGTGTCTGGCTAGCAATGTTTTGTTGTTTTGTTTCAGGGGAGAGAAGTTTCAAGACAGAGTTTCTCTGTGTGTCCCTGCCTCTCCTGAAATTTGCTTTGCATACCAGGCTGGCCTCAAACTCAGAGATCCACCTGTCTCTGCCTCCTGAGTATTGTCAAGGTATTTTTGCAAACCATCTGCCCTCTCTCAACATCAGTCTACTAATAGGGGTGAGGAGAGGTGATTGTGTTTGTTTGCTTGCTTGTTTTTGAGAAAGGGTCTCTGTGTGTCTCTGGCTGTCCAGTTATATAGACCAGGCTGGCCTTGAACTCACAGAGATCCACTTGCCTCTGCCTTCCAAGTGGTGGGATTAAAGATGTTTGCTACCACTGGCCAGCTTTGTTTTATTATATCTCAAGACACTGTATAGCCCAGTCTGGCCTGGAATTTATAATTGTTCTCTCTCTGCTTTCAAATCCTGAGGTACCACCATACCCAGCGTGAAAGTCCATGGTAGTGAATGTATGGCCCATGGACTCCCTAGTGGTTTGTGCTATAATGACTGGTTCAGTGAGCTCTACAGTTTAGACACTGAAAATAAAGAAAATCTCCCTGAAAATGAACAACTTGACCTGGAGATTGTGCATGGCCCAGAGAATGGAAGAATGGAAAGTTTCATCTTGCTAGGTGGTGGTGGCACACGTCTTTAATCCCACCACTTGGGAGACAGAGGTAGGCGGATCTCTGAGTTCGAAGCCAGCCTGGTCTACAGAGAAAATTCCAGAACAGCCAGGGTTATACAGAGAAACCCTACCTTGAAAAACAAACAAAAAATCATCACCTCCCCATGTTTGCTAAGCACTCTCCGCCCTTGAACTATACACCAGGCCAACATTTCCAGCTTGTATAGTTGGGACGTCTGCTTGAACAGCCCGGGATCCTTCCCACATCTTCAGTGGGCGTGAAGGTTTTTTATTACTTTTTTTTTTTTTCCTTAAACAGTACTTTGGAATGAAATCAGTCCCTTTACTGGGGAACTCTATGCAGGTGTTCTACTGTTGGAACCTGACCCCAGTCCCTGATTGGGGGATTCTGTTAAGTGCTCTACTGCTTAGCCATACCCCAACACCCCAAGGACCTTTCAAATACGAGCGGAGAAGGCAGAGCCAACAGATCTTTCATGGAACCCTTGCACTCGAGCACATCAAATTAAAAATGAACACCCACCCCTTCAAAGGAGGAAGCTCATTCCATGGCTGTTGGAGATAGGATCTTGGATTAATGAGAGAGGGAAATCCATATAAACAAAGGTCTCAAATGAAGTGGCTGCAGAAAAGAAAGGCCTTCTGGGAGAAATGAGGATGGAAAGTGGAGAAACAGCCCAGTGCAGAGAACACAGTAACACAGTAACAGTAAATAGGAGAATTAGAAAGGCAACTTCTAAATGCTCACACTAAAAATTCCAGAGGAGAAAATGCGTGTGTATGTGTGTGTGTATGTGTGTGTGTGTGTATAACTTGACACAGCTAGAGTCATAGGAAAGGTGGAACCCTCGACTGAGAAAATGCCTCTATAATATCAAGTTATAGGGTATTTTCTTAGTGATAGATTGGAAAGGTCCCTTGTGGGTGGTTCACTTCTAAATAGGTGGTCCTATGTACTAAAAGGCAGGCAGGCTGAGTAAGCTATGGAGAACAAGCCAGTAAGCAGCACTCCTTCATGGTCTCTGCATTAGGTCCTGCCTCCAAGTCTCTGCCTTGTTTGAGTTCTTGCCCTGACTTCCTTCAATGATGAACGGTGATTTGGGAGCATAAGCTAAATAAACCCTTTCATCCCCAGTGTTGCTTTGGTCATGGAGTTTAATCACAGCACTGGTAACCTTAACTAAGATAGTGTGTACACTGATGAGGGTGTGTGTGTGTGTGTGTGTGTGTGTGTGTGTGTGTGTGTGTGTGCCTGTTATACAAAGGTCAAAGGCCAACTGTAGGCAATTGGTTTCCTCCTTCCTTCATGTGGGTCCTGAGGACAGAAAGAACTCAAGTCCCCAGGCTGCTGGGACCTACCTCCACCCACATATCTATCTTGCTGCCCTTTCCCAGACTTCTGTCCTTGCTTGTTTAAAAATTTTCTCTGTGTAGCTCTGGCCATCCTGAAACTCACTCTGTAGACTAGGCTGGCCTCAAACTTAGAGATTCACCTGCCTCTGCCTCCTGAGAGCTAGGTTTAAAGGTGTGCGCCACCACTGCCCCGCTCCCTTTTTAAAATTATCCTAGGCTTCGGAGTTGTGCTCAGATGTATAGATATCAGGTTTCTACACAAGCATCACTACTCTTAAAAACACTGCGGAGAAGGGGCTGGGGAGACGGCTTAAGTGAGTAAGAGTGCCTGCTTCACAAGCATGGAGATATAAGTTTAAATTCCCCAACATCCACGTGAAAAGACCATTACTCGGTTGATGTCTGAAACCCCAGCATCGTGATACAAAGACAGGCAGTCCCAACAGTCCACTGGCCAGCCAGTTTAGCTGAGATGGCAAGTTCTGACTCACTGAGAACTCTTGTCTCAAGGCAGCAAGGCTAACACCTGATGTCCTGCCCTGAGCTCTTGGACACAGCTGGACACTCATGTGCATGTACCAAACAACACATACACCATATAGATACTGTACAACATACACATACAGATAGATAGATAGATAGATAGATAGATAGATAGATAGATAGATAGATAGACAGATGGATGCTATAAAAATTAAAGGACTAGGGACATGGCTCAGTGGTCAGACCACTCGCTATCACAATAAAAAGCCTTGAGGTCAGAACTCCGAATCCCACACAGCTGGGCACAGCAATGTATATCTGTAATCCCTGAGCTCCTCCTTTAAAATGGGAAGCAGAGCCTAGACAGATGGCTCAGTGGATGAGGGCACTGGTCGCTCTTGCAGAGGACTGGGGTTCAGTTTCCACCACCCCACATGGTCACTCATCTGCAACTCCAGTTCCAGGGGATCTGATGCCCTCTTCTGGGTACTGCATGCACATGGTGCCTTTATGCACAGCAGACAGTCATATACATAACAATAAGTTTAAAAACTTTTAAAGCTAAAATCATAAGTATTTATTGTTACAAATGTATGAACTAGAGCTGGTGCACGTCAGAATCTTAGCACTGGGGAAAACAGGCAGAAAGATCAATTCAAGGCCAGCTTTGCCTACATAGTAAGTTTGAAGCCAGCTGAGAACACATGAGACCCTGTTTCAGAAAATGAAAACACTAACCACTAAAACTCGATGTAATGACAGAAAATAATACATGTCTTTCAATAACTGTTTATTAATAATCTCAACTCCCTAATCAAAAGAAAAAGACAACAAAAAAGATTAACAACGGAAATAAAAACAAAAAACACGGCCCCTAGTCAGTTAGACTCCTCAGCTGGTAAAAAGGTTTGCCGTGTATATTTGACTACTGCTGCCCGGGGCCGTGCTCGGGTCCATGGTCCTACTGCAGCTGGGGGATGTATTAATGTTGGTGGCCTGTGTTACCAGTGAAGGTCATGCCATTGTGTCTGGTCTGTGCCGCCCCCTGAAGCCATGTTGACATCACTGGCCTGTACTGCTGTTGAGGGCTATGATGCTTTCTGTGGTTCTTGCTGTGGCAGAGGGCTCAGCTGATGTCGAAGATCGGCACTGCCACCAAAGGCCATGTGGATGTCCGTCATGTGGATGTCCGTGGTCCGCGCTGTCGCCAGAAGCCATGAGGAAGTCCAAGACTGATCGGTACTCTGGCCGACTGTAAAGGACAAGGATGCTACTTTTGCTGTGGTATGCAGACTCTCAGTGGAGAAAGAGGGACGGGGAAGGCTTCTGTGACAACCCCCATCCCCCGCCACCCACCCATCCAAAGTAACAGCCTAGACAGAAAGCCATTGAGGAAACCTCTTAACAATTGTCATAAGGATGCTGAAATGTGGCTCTCTACAACTGATGGCTTCCAGCCAGGATGCATGTCAGGAAGGACACAATTTTCTTTAAGGGGCTGGCCACTGGGAGTTTGACCATGTTCCCATGAGTGCGTGGGCAACACAATTTGAACTTTCTTCTCTCCTTTTCTTTTTTTTTGGGGGGGGGAGTGGATGGTAGGTCATAAGGGTGGGGGTCAAAGCTGGAAGGACCGGGAAGTGAGTGTGATCTGGGTTCATGATGTGAAATCCCGAAATAATCGATAAAAGTATTGTGTTAAAGGAAATCTAACTATAAAAGTTCAGGTGCAAGTGTGTTAGCTGCTGAACTCTACACGACCTTCAGAGAATGAATATCAACGCTTATCAAATTATTCAATAAAGAGAAAATGAAGACATTCCCAACTTTTTATGCCAGCATTAACTGTAATACTAAAACCAGACATCTACACTGACAACAAAAAAGAAAATTATAAGCAATCTCTCGGGTGAACAGAGAAGCAAAAATTCTCAAGAAGACTCGGGGTTCAAAGATGCTCAGTGGTTAAGAGCATGCAGTGCTCCTGCAGAGGACGCCGCTTCAGTTCCCAGCACCCACACTTGGCAGCTTACAACCAAGTGTAACTCTAGCGCCAGGCAATTCAGCGCCCTCTTCTGGCCTCTTTGGGAAACTGCACTCACATGGCATATATTCAGATACATAAATAGAAGGAATAAGAAATGAACAAGATAATGTGTACGAAGGGAAATCTTATTCTCTACTGTGGGAAATGAGGGAGTCCTTCACTGCAGAAATGATCATGGAGATGTCCCAAAAACCTAAACGAAGATCTACCATACAGCCCAGGTATGCTACATGGTGGGGGTGGGGGTAGGGGGTGCCCTGAATCTAAACAGCACAGAGATCCCCGAACTCCAGTATTGACCGCAGCTACCCCTTCACAATAGCTAAGTTAAAAAACCAGGCTGGGGTCTCCAAAGGCAGAGGAACAGTAAAGAAAATTGTGCTTTCCACACACAATGGGAATTTCAGCCAAAAAAAAAAAAAAAAAAAAAAAAGCAGAACGAAGTCATGTTCATCCTCAGGAAAACGGATGTAACCGGGAATGATCACATGAAGCCAAAGAAGCCAGTCTCAGAAAGACAAAAGATTGCATTTGTCTAACCAATGCTTCCTGGATGTATAAAGATAAGTGAAATCATATACGTAAACATGCCAGGAGCACAGTTTAATAGTGCTCCTGGCGGGTGGCTAAGCAGAGTAAAGGGGTCTAAGCAGGTTAGAACGGTGGAGAGAGAGGGCACAAGAAGGAATATATGCTCAACATACAATACGGTGTGTGGAATGTCATCGTTCTCCAAGTATTCACACTCGAAGCCCGGGCCTGGGCAAACTGTCATCATCTTCATCCTTCAAGGAAGAACAGATAAGGTTGTAGCCCCAGGCCACCAGTGTGCTGTTAGGGCACCATTGACACTAGTATCCCAGCTGGGCTAGAATTTGTTCCAGTGAATTCTAGAACTTACCTCAGGTAACCTTGAGGCCCACAGAGGCATAAATCATCCAAATGCTTCTTAGGATGGGCTTTAGGGGCAGGAGTTGGGGAGGAGCTATTTGGAGCAATTACGGGCAGCTGTGAACCCCCAAATGAGGATGCCGTGAGCTGAACTCAGGTCTTCTGAAAGAGCAGTATGTGCTCAGAGTATGAGCTGCCTCTCCAGCCCGCACCTTGTTTGAGACTGGATCTCTCACTAGCTGGGGGCTCCCTCAGTAGATTTAGGCTGGCTGGCCATCAAGGCCCAGATACTCTCCTGTCTGATTCTCCAGTTCTGAGAGGACAAGTGCATGCCATCATGGCCAGCTTTTATGTGGGTACTGGAGACTGGGCCCCAAGTCCTCATGCTTGCAAAGAAGGCGCTGCATGACTGAACTATTCCTATAGTTGTAAAAATCTGGGCATGGCACATGTACCTGGAATGCCAGCATTTTCAAGGGCTTAGGTTGGGCTCTGACTGGGGTCAGGGACACCACAAGGAAACCTACAGGATCAACTAACCTGGGCCCAGAGGTGCCCCCAGGGACTGAACTGCCAACCAGGGAACCCAGGGTGAAGACAGGCCTCCTCCATATATATTAGAGTTGTGTAGCTTGGTCGTCATGTGTGACACCTAACAGTGGGAGCAGAGGCTGTCTCTAACTCTGCTGCCTGACTTTAGATCCCTTCCCCTACTGGACCGCCTTGTCTAACCTCAGTAGGAGAAGATGCACCTAGTCCTACTGCAATGTGATGTGCCAAGGAGGGTTGATATCCATGGGGGGGGCTCCCTTTTCTGAAGAGAAAGGGAGGAGGATTGGATGGGGAACAGGATGAGGGGGAGCACTGGCTCAGGAGGAGAAGGAGGAGGGGGAGCCGTTACCGTATGAATATAAATTAAATACATTAATTAATTAATTTAAAAAATGGGCTCTGAACATACTTATGTATACGGTAAAATACAAACAACTAAAGTCTATTTTTCCCTTTGGTGTCAAGGCCTTATTATGTAGTCCAGACTAGCCTCTGACTTCCAGCCTTCCTCAGTCTGGAATTACAGATGAACACCACCATGTCTGACCCTCTTGATTTTTTTTTTTTTTTTTGAGACATGTTTTCTCTGTATACCCCTGGCTGTCCTGGAACTCCCTTTATAAATCAGGCTGGCCTTGAACTCTCAGAGGTCCACCTGACTCTGTCTTCTGAGTGCTGAGAATAAAGGTGTGCACCATCATGCCTGATTTTTCCTTTTTTAGAGAGACTCTCAAGTAGCCTAGGCTAGTCTAAAACTCCTACTATGCCTGTCTGTCTCTGCTTCCCACATGCTAGGATTACAGTGGTGGACCTTACCAATATGTTTGGCTTCAGTCTAGCAATTAAAAATATTATATTTGTATGTGTGAGAAAGAGACAGACACACACACACACACACACACACACACACACAGAGAGAGAGAGAGAGAGAGAGAGAGAGAGAGAGAGAGAGAGAGAGCGCACACGTACGTATTCCATAGCCTGTGTGGAGGGGTTAGAGGACAACTTGTGGCAGTTGGCCCTCTTGCATTAATTAGGTTCCTGGGTATTGAACTCAGATCCTCAGGTTAGGCAGCAAGCGCCTCTATACCCTGAGCCACTTCACCAGTTCCATCTTATGGATGTTTAAGCAGACTTGACTGACACTGGAAACGTGTGTGCTATGACCCCATCACTGCTTTCCCTCTCCATCTTCCCAAACTGAAACTCTGTCTTCACATCACTCGGATGCCTACTTCCTGCTCCGTCCAGCCTCTGTTCTCTACTGTCCATTGCTATGAGTTTGCTTGGTCTTAGGACCTCAAGGAAGAGGAAGAAAATGAAATTCGTGCGCATGTGCAATATATGTACCTACCCGTGTGCACAGGCTCATGTGCACTCATGTGTATAGGGGCCAGAGGTTGACTTCTCAATCACACTCCACCTTAGTTTTTTGACACGGGGTCTCTCACTAAATCCGGAGCTGTCTGGTTTGGATAGACTGGATGGCCATCAAGCCCGTCTGTGCCTTCCAAACAATGGGATTCCAGGTGCCTGTGGCATGTCCAGATTTTCACATGGATGTTGGATTAAAAGCCTTGGTCCACACGCTTGTCTGGCAAGCACTTCACCACCTAAGTATGTCTTCACAGTCTCCACTGCCTTGAATTCCCTATGTACTTGAGGATGGCCTTGAACTCCTGACCCTCCCAGCTTTGACTTCCTGAGTCCTGGGTTATAGTACTGTGTCATCTCCCCTCAGCGAAGTGGTCACCTGGTAAACTTTGTTATTTATATCCTACCACTGGACAGATCTTTATGGAAACCTTTATCTGATGTCTACTTCCCCAGGCCACAGACAACTCAGACGTTTTATGGAGTAACTCATCCCCAAACTATGTGTTCTAGAAAGAGACAAAATGCAGTGTTGAAATTGCTTTCCTGAAAGCTGGGCCACACAGCATTGTTTGCATTCTTAGATAGAAAATCTCTTTTAGTGTATTGTCCCTTGTCCCATTCCCTCCCATTCCCTTTTTTTGTTTGTTTGTTTTTTGTTTTTTTGTTTTTAAAGGCAAGAAAAAGACAGGTTAAAACCAGAAACCAAGAGATAAACTCCCATGGGTGTAGACTGGCTTTGCTAGGAAGGCAAAGGTCAGTTGTCATTCCACAGGAGTTTTTCGTGTTGTTTAAATGTGTGTGTGTGTGTACCCACATGTGTGCGTGTGTTTGAGAGGTAAGGGGTGTATGAGGTTAGGGACAACCTGCAGAAGTCATTATTCTCCTTCTGCCATGTGGGTCCCTGGCATTGAACATAAGTCCTCAAGTTTGACAGCAAGTATCTTTATACAGATGTGCAGGATAGCCTGGTGTCAACTTGACACAGGCTAGAGTCATTTGAGAGGAGGGATCCTTACTTAAGAAAATGCCTTCAGGGGCTGGTGAGGTGGCTCAGCAGCTGAGAGCACTGGCTGTTGATTTTCCACAGGTCCTGAGTTCAATTCTCAGAAACCACATGGTGGCTCATGACCATCCATAAAGGGATCTGATGCCCTCTTCTGGCATGCAGGTGTACATGCACACAGGGCACTAAATCAATCAATCATCAATCAATCAAAAAGAAAAAAAGAAAATGCCTCTCTAAGATAGGCCTGAAGGCAATCTTGTAGGGCATCTTCTTAATTTAGGATTGATGGGGGAGGGCCCATCCCAGGGTGCTATCCCAGGACTGAGGATTCTGGGTTCTCGTAGAAGGCCGACTGAGCAAGCCATAAGGATCAAGCCAGGAGGCAGCACCCTCCATGGCCTCTGCATCAGCTCCTGCTTCCAGGTTCCTACCATGCTAGAGTTCCTGTGCTGACTTCCTTCAGAAGTAAACAGTGATATGGGACGTGTAAGCCTAATTAACCCTTTCCTCCCCAACTTGCTTTGGTCACGGTGTTTCATCACAGCAACAGAAACCTTAATTAAGACACCACTGATCTATCTTGCCAACTCCACTGCATTGTGTTTTTATTTTGCTTTGTAAGACAGTATCTTTCCCTGGATTGAGATTTTTTAGCTAGACTGGCTGACCATTGAGCCCTATGGATCAGATGTATATACTGACCCAGAACTGGGATTATAAACATGGAGCCACATGCCTGGATTTCTCACATGGGCTTAAACTCAGCTCCTCAATTCTTCCTACTTGCCTAGCAAGCTCTGGGTCATCTGAGCCACCTCCCAGCTTCCAGACAAGCTTCCGGATACTCAAAGGCCACATGTATAACAGGCACTAGGGAGGCAGCCAGGTAAAATCACAGGAGGGTATGGAGAGAGTCAGCCTGTCTGATAGCCAGGGTCACAGGATAGGTAGCACTGGAAGCACAACCATCAAGAGCTAGCCCCCGCCAGGTAGTGGTGGTGCACACCTTTAATCCCAGCACTTGGGAGGCAGAGGCAGGCGGATTTCTGAGTTCGAGGCCAGCCTGGTCTACAGAGTGAGTTCACCAAGAGCCAGCCCAGAGCACAGGGTCCTCCTTACTCACCACACATCCGTATTTCTCAACGATGTCCAGGGCACTTTGGCTGATGTAAGTGTTTTGGTGGTGCTGTAAGGACTCAATTTTTTCAAAGCCACCAACTTCCTCTATCTGAAAACACAGCCTTTTCTTCTCCTGTAGACTGTCTATCTGCTGAGGATGGATGAGAAACCAGCAAAGAGACAGTGAGACCCAGAGTATGCTTGGGCAGTGTGTGTGTGTGTGTGTGTGTGTGTGCACATACACGTGCACACGCACGTGGAGCTGCAGCTGGCTAACATTTAGGGGGCTGGTTTGGTTGGAGGCAGACCTGATCCAGGACAGGTAGTTGCAGACCCATTGAAAATGCCAAGATCTTCCTCCTCTCCTTTCATGAATTCATTTCTTCAATCATGCTTGCCTGCACTTATTCACAAAATCCACCCCTGCATTCAGTCATCCACAAAATCATCCACAAGCATTCATTCATTCATTCATTCACAAAATCACCCATGAATTCATTCATTCATTCATTCATTCATTCACAAAATCACCCATGAATTCATTCATTCACAAATACATTCACAAATTCACCAGTGAGCTTACTTGTTCACACAGTTATTCACATTTTTATTCAGACTGTATCCAACACCATAGAATACTAATGTAATAAATTCAAAAAGGCATTTGACCAAAGCACCAAGGAATTCAAAGTAAAAAAGTATTTAATAAAAATCAAAGCCTAGCCGGGCAGTGGTGGCGCACGCCTTTAATCCCAGCACTTGGGAGGCAGAGGCAGGCGGATTTCTGAGTTCAAGAGTTCGAGGCTAGCCTGGTCTACAGAGTGAGTTCCAGGACAGCCAGGGCTACACAGAGAAACCCTGTCTCGAAACAAAACAAAACAAAACAAAAAATCAAAGCCTAGATGAGCATCACAGGACTCTAGAAACTACATAGCCCAGGCTATCCTTGAACTTGGCTCTGTAGCTGAACACAGGAACCTCAATTCCTGTTCCTCCCAGCTCCACCTCCCTGAGTGTTGGTTTAAGTCCATCCAGCTCAATCATTAAAGGAATCCACGGTGTCAGAACAAAACATTTCTCTCTTCACCTTTGTCCTACTGTCCTTGGGGAAAGACATTATTTTGTCCAGACACAGCGCCACTCGGGAACGATTTATGGTACTTTCCAATCCCAGCCTGTCTCTCTTCTACCAATCAATCCCCTGGTGGTTCACTACATCTTTAACAATTGATATAGGGAGGCAGGAGAAGTGTACCAGTGTCTAAAGGCATTGACTATTTTTCTAAAGGACACAGGTTCAGTTCCCAGCTCCCACGAGCTATCTCTAACTCTGGTTCCAGAGGATACCATGACCTCAGGACTCTGTGGCCCTGCATTCATGTGGTATACAGGCATACATACAAAATGTCCATTTGGATAAAATAAAAGTAAATCAATCTTTTAAAATAAATCTGATGCAGAAGTGGGCATGGCAGGACATGACTGTAACCTCAGCACGTGAGAGGTCTCAGGAAGCTCAAGTATTACCATGTGTCCCATGTAAGTCATATAGGGAGAGCCTGTGTCAGATCTCAAAAGCAAAACCATCAAAAACAACAACAAAATTGTGTCTGGAGTGATGGCTCAGTGGCTAAGAGGACAAACTGCTCCTACAGAGGACTTGAGGTCGGTTCCCAGCATGCACATCAAGGGGCTCCCTGCTACCTGCCACTCCAGCCCAGGGGAATCTGATGCTTCTGACCTCTGTTGGCACCTGAACTCACACACACATATCCACATACAGACCCATATCCACACAATTGAAACAAACTAACCTTAAAGACAAGTCTAGCAGCTTGGCTCTTTCTTTTGTTCTGTTTTGAAGTTTCTGTGGGTTTCTCAGCCTCAGGTGAGGGAATCCACATCTCCACCAGCCGCTCTCATCTGGCCCAGACCTGAGCCCTTCTCATTCTCCCTCCGTCTTCCAACCGCTTGCTCTTGCTATGCTACTCACGACTCCCCTGGTTATTCCTTTGCCTACGATGTTTTCCTACATATGTCTTCGAGACTCATCTATACACTCTCACTTCTCACTCCCTGAGACTGCTCCCTTCCCTGAGCACTACAGAGTGTGACAGCAGCCAGTCCCCACTAGAGTGAGCGGTGCCTCCTCAGTCCGACTTCCTTCACAAGGAATGCCTACAGTGTCCCCTGTGTCACTCACACACAAGCTCCCTAGGGCAAGGAATCCAACAGGTATGCTCTGAGCCCTTGTCACCAAGGTGCTCCTGTGACAAAATGTTGACACACCAACATTCAGTTTCTTCACAGATTGTGTAGCCCAGGCTGGCCTCAAGCATACTACTTAGCCCAGGCTGCCTTCAAACCCATGAGCTCCTGTCTCCTCTCTTGGGTCCTAGGATGACAGGTATACACTGCCAAACCTGGCTTGGTGTCCTATTCTTGAGTGCTTTGTGTTGCCCTAGGGATGTAGGGAGTGTAAGAAGAATGGCACGAGAATCCTTCTCGGGATTCATTTGTTCATTCATTCATTCATTCATTCATTCATTCATTCATTCAGAGTCTCAGGTAATCCAGTCTAACACTAATTTGCTATTTGGCTGAGGAGGACCTTGAACTCCTGATCCTTCTCCTGCCTCCTGAGTTCTGGGATTATGGGCGTGTCTTTGCATGCCTGCATTGTGTGGTGCTGGGGACCCTTACTGCCACATGAGTGACACCCCAGCCCAGCCTACCTGAGTTACTTTTTGTAACATTTATTTTCTCTCTCACACCATGTGTGTGCATTAGCATCTGTACTGTTGCACGAGTGTGGATATCAGACAACTTGTGGGAGTCGGTTGTCTCTCAGCGCCACATGGATCCTGGGGACTGAACTCAGTGGTCAGCTTGGTGGCAAGTACCCTTACTCACGGAGCCCTCTGGCTCCCTAAGTGTCCCACCCACAACCCCCACCCTGTTGTGAGGGAGCACACTCACTGTCTTTCAGTCGGAGACTGCCTGCTTGGAACAGCTCACCTGGAGGAGATAAGAAGTGATGTCAAGGATGACGATGACAACATCCATGTCTGGGACAGTGAGCAGATTCAGCATTGGCTCCAAGACTCCCGAGTGGGCAAGCAGAGTCAACTGGCACTGAGAGGCCCCTGTCGCAATGTTAGCCACGATGCACACAGCCTCTCTCTGGACATGTAATTCTGCCTGCAAAGACAGAGGTTCCTTCCTTACAGCTCCCAAGGGCCACCATAGAGGGATGCTGACCTGACTCACTTGTTGTTTTTGGACATTTTTGAGGCAGGCTTCTCAGTGTAGACCAGGCTGGCCCCCAACTTGCTATAGAGATGAGGAGGACCTTGAACTTCAGGCCCTCCTATCTCTGCTCTCAAAAATGCCATCCTTATGGATGAGACCACAGTGTCTGGTATATATATGTAGTGCTGGTAATGACACCCAGGGCTTTGTGTGGCAGGCAAGGACTCTGACAACCGGGCCACACCCTCAGTCTTTTTTGTTTTGTTTTGTATTTTAAAAGTAGGGTTCTGGGGTCTGGAGAGATGGCTCAGTAGTTAAGAGCACTGACTGTTCTTCCAGAGGTCTTGAGTTCAATTCCCAGCAACCACATGGTGGCTCTCAACCATATGTGATGGGATCTGATACCCTTTTCTGAAGGCAGCTACAGTGTACTCCTATATATAAAATAAAATAAAATAAATAATTCTTTTTTTTTGTCTTTTTTTTGAGACAGGGTTTCTCTGTGTAGCCCTGGCTGTTCTGGAACTCACTCTGTAGACCAGGGTGGCCTCGAACTCAGAAATCTGCCTGCCTCTGCCTCCCAAGTGCTGGGATTAAAGGCGTGCGCCACCACCACCTGGCTATAAAAGAAATAATTCTTAAAAATAAGGTTTTACTCTATATAGTCCAGGCTATCCTGGGACTCAGTATTAGCCTAGGCAGGCCCTCAATTTGCAATCATGTTGTAATAGCCTCTTGAGTGTTGAGATTACAGGTGTGTGCTACCAGACCTGGTCCTGATCAGCTGGTAAGACCTGAGCTTACATGTGAAATTCATGTCCAGTGAGCTAACACACTGCCTTCAATTCTTGATCAGAACATAGCCTCTGAGAGAAGCCACGAAGTAGGCTGCCTGACGCCCACACAAGATTTGGCTTTTTCTCTTTTTTTTCTTACACAGGGTCTTATGTACATCAGACTGGCTTTACACACACTGTGTAGCCAAGGCTGACCTTGAACTCCCGATTATCCGGCTTCCCTCATTTCCTGTGGATGCTGGAGATTGAACTCCAATCCTCAAGCTTGTACAGGAGACGCTTTACAGACTCTCTTCCCAGCCCTGCCACTTACATTCCTTAGTAGGTCAGCCAAGACAGGCATCAGGTCACACAAAATCAGCTGCTGGACGTGGTCTCGGGACCCAGCAGTCACATTGCACATGATCCAAGCACCAAGCTTCTGAATGGAGGACTTTGGATGCTTCAGGATCTGGCCCAGTGCCTTCAGCATGCCAGCATCAATGGCCATTTGGGTCTGTTCATCTGTTCCAGCCACAATGTTGCCCATAGTGTGGAGACAAGGGGTCTAGAAGGACCAAGAGAGGTGTCTAAGGGTTGTGACTCTGTCACATTACATTTGAGTCACACTGAGTGCCGTGCAGCGAGATGTCTGCCAGTGTGTAGTGTTTTCTTTGGTCAGCATATCCATGGTTGCTTTTAGGGTTTCAGGTGCTTGCTCGCTGTTCTTGTTCAAGGAGGGCAGACAAAGGACACTGTTATTAGAAAATGATGGTATGCCGGGCAGTGGTGGTGCACGCCTTTAATCCCAGCACTTGGGAGGCAGAGGCAGGTGGATTTCTGAGTTCGAGGCTAGCCTGGTCTAGAGAGTGAGTTCCAGGACAGCCAGGGCTACACAGAGAAACCCTGTCTCGAAAAACCAAAAAAAAAAAAAAAAAAAAAATGATGGCACACTAGGGACCAGGTATGTAGCTTTGGGAAGAGTGCTTGCCTCACGTGTGTGAAGTTCTGTGTATAAACCTGGTATGGCGGGCACTACGCACCTGCAATCCCTGTAAATGGGAGGTGGTGTCAGGTGGTCCCAAAGGGCCTTCTTGGCTACATAGTGAATTTAAGGCTAGCCTGGACTACATGAGACTCTATCTAAGACAAGAAAGCCTTCTGTTGTACTGATTTTGCTTGGGGATTTTGAGGGTTTCTCATATAGACTTGGCTGGTCTTGAATTTGTCACATAGCCAAGGACAGTGAGCTTTTGGTCCTCCCAACTTTTGTGATCCTGAGACAAGGTCTGATGCACACTGGTCTATGCATCTGAGGATGACCTTGAACTTCCTGGTCCTCCTGCCTCCATCCCGAGTGCAGGGATGACAGTTGTGCTCCACCTGGTTAGTTTGTACAGTACTGGGAATGGAACCCAGGGCTTCCTAAATCCTAGGGGGGCGTTCTTACCAATGAGCAACATCCTTAGCCTGGCCTTGAACTCACCATTCTTTGTCAACCTCTGCTAGGATTGCATGTGTGTACTACATGTCCACCCCACTAAACTCTTAACTGGGGAA